CTTCCAACCCGAGTGATCCAACCGGAGAACAGAGAACCAGCTCTGTCCTGAGCACCAGGCTGGGGGAGGAGGGAGCTCTGCACTTGCACAACGTGGCACATCCAAACTCTGAGTTTGATGAGCCTGGTGGGATTGGAATGAGCTCCCTCACGCCCAGAGGTGTGGTTTCCTCAGGACCAGAGGCGTGGTGATCCTGAGATTCTCCACCGATACTGAGAGCCGTTTCTCCCCCCTTCCTCGTGGTAGCTGACAGGATAGATGTGTCTGATTTCTGAGGCATAACCTGAGTGTTCTCCTGTGGTTTGTTTTTTTTTTTTGCAGCACCACCAGCACCAGGCTGCCCAGGCACTCCACCTGGCCAACCCCCAGCAGCAGTCGGCGATTTACCACGCAGGTCTAGCTCCAACCCCTCCTTCCATGACGCCAGGCTCCAACACGCAGTCTCCACAAAATAGTTTTCCTACAGCACAACAAACAGTCTTCACCATTCATCCCTCCCATGTTCAACCTGCATATACCAATCCGCCACACATGGCCCATGTCCCCCAGGTAAACACAGTTTAACAACCTTCAAGACTTAAATGTCTTAATGCCACAAAGATTAGGACGAAAGTCGGGCCTGCTGAAGTGATTTCCATTCTGTCACCTCTCAGCGCAGACTTACCTGTTGTTGTTCTTTAGGTTTCTTGTCTGTACATTGCCTTTATTTAGAGTTTGACAAGATGTTTCGACCTCAGCTTCCAACACCTAGTGCATCTGCAACTGTAGTTTAATGAAGACATCTTAAGCTGGCACTGCTACTGAAATAAATTGAGCTCCATTCCCAGTTCCTGGCTCCCATCCTTGTCCCTGCCCCACCATCCTGCTCACGGGACCCTTTGGCCATGCAGCAAACCAGGCTGGGAACATGATCCATGAAATGTGCCTCTCCTACCCCCCCCCCCACCCCCTTTTTAGGCTGTTTCTTGGAAAATCAGTTCACTGCTCAGGTGCATGACCCCAGGAAGGGCTGGCATACAGAAAGGTTGGAGAGCTGAGTGCAGGAAGGCTGGATTGCTGCTTTTGGTGGCAGTTTTAGGCTCTGCATTGTAGACAAATTTGTCCAAGTACATCCAGAAAAGGATATTACACAGATTATTAGGGAATAGCCAGGCACTGCAGTGGGAGGGAGGTGAGGTTCAGTTCAGGTGACTGCAGGACAATCCTTGCAGAAGGAAAACCCAGTGTGTGTGTGTGTGTCTGTGGTTCTAAATGAACTGCTTATGCAGAAGATCCCCAAAGATTGTTGAGCAGCTTAGGGACAGTCCTTGATTCAGAATCAGAAATCCCCTTGTCTAACTGCTCTCTTGTGGTCAGCTTACTAAGTGAAAAAAAAAAAAAGGGTTTGGGAGGGGAAGCACATGATTGATTAATCAAGAGCTCCATGTAAAGCAGTGTGCAGAGATTTCCTGATATTTACTAAATCTCCTGGATTTAGTGTCCTTTGTCAAGGAATGGACAGTTAAATGGACAGTAATTTCCCTGCACAGTTTCTTCTTCAGACCAAGAACTTGATGTCTGGCTTCTGCCTTCTCATGCAGGTTATCAACAGTTTTGGGATCTGCTGGCTGACTGTAATTTAGGGAGGTTTGTCCAACAGGTGTCCAGTCCCTTGCAGAATTCTGATAAAACCTTTGCTTTGGTCCCTGGGGCAGTCAGTTAAGCCAATAAATTAATAGTTACTTAGGAATTGTTTTACTGATGTTGAGTGTTTAGCTTTTTGATTCTTTTAGGCTTTTAATTTCTCTGCTTTTTGGGGGAGGATGAGGAGAGGATGTCCAAACTTGGTAATCTTGCCACATCCTCCCAGTCTCAGAAACAAGACTCCTGCTCTGCCCTGGTGTGATGGCACTGCTGGGAATGCCTGGGCTGTGTGTGGAGCTTCTCAGCAGGGTCTTGGCTTAGGGACACGTTCAGTGTCTTGCCTTGAAACGTGAAATGTGTTTGGTTCAAGGACACTTCAGGGTAAAGCTGTACCTGAAATGTGCTGTACGTGCCATGGCCAGGCCCATGGATGCAGGATGTGACCATTGCCTTCCTTTCTGTGTGCCAAGCACTTACCCAAACCAAATTAAGCATATCAGATGCAACTTCGAGTCGGAACTGCCTGCTCAGGCAGGATTTTTAGCAATCACAGGCAAATCCTGCTTTGCCCTTGATTTTAACTTCTGCAGTCTCTTCTGTGATTTTTTTTTTTTTTTTAGAATGAAAACTATAATCTGTGATATTTACACCAAACTAATTGACTTTCCCAATGAAGTAGTTCCCTCAGAAGATCTCTAGTGAAGGAATAACTACAGTTCAGTCAGAAATTTAAATGCATGTAATTATTCCATCGTGGGGAAACCAATCACCGGCTCGAACAGTTTCTTATCAGCCTCATTTCCAGCTTCTAAACACAATCCTGAAATACCACGTGGTAAGAATTCCAGTCAGACCAACACAGGGGGAATCAGTCCAGTTTCCCTGTAGGTTATCAGATGAATCTTGAGCTGGTGGATATCTCACTTGAGAACCAGTACTTTAAAATTCATTAGAGAGTTCTGTCAGCTGCCAATTTGCTAAATGTTTGAGCCACAGCAGAAAAATTTCCCCACTGTGTGTCTTGACTCCAGCTGCTCCCTGAAGAGCTGCTCTCTAATGATGCTCCTCCAATAGCATGTTTGTCGAAGTCATCGTGGAGCCAGCCCTGGGAGGTCTTTCTGTTCCACAGCCTGATCTTCTGAACCTTTTTTTAGAGCAAGAGTGAGATTTGAATTGCAGTTCCTGCCTTTAAAGGCTCCTGGAGTGCTACTAACACGTGCAAATCTGATAAAAGAGTTTGGGGGAATGTCTGTGATGAGTCAAGTAACCCTTTTTGTCTTTAAGAAATAAAATTCTGGCCACTACCTGCTATCTGTCTTTACTGGCATGGGAGACTTGTGAGACTGCACTTCTGGGATATGGTAGAAGGACAAAGCAAACCTTAGGTACAAATGGTGTTTTTGGGGGGCTTTTTATTCCCCCAGGAGAAATCCACTGAGAGCTCTGAGTTCCTTAATATTTTGTGCTTTTAAGAAACTAGTGCTTGCTAGATTTTTTTACCCCCAAAAATTAACGACCTCTAGAGAGTTAAAGAACCCACCAAGTTCCTGAAGTTGCTTGCCAGAGGTGATGAACCATTGGGAGAATTAACCTCCTTTTTCTGCTGAGACTTAGCCCTGCTTGCTCAGATCACACAAGAACTGTGATGAGCTGAACTGGAAGCAGAACAAAGGGATGGAATCACTCCTCTCAGAAGGACTTTGCTGAACAATGTGTGGGCACAGGTCACTGGAGAGGAGAGGAGAGGGAGGTTCCCAGGGCAGGGAGCCAGGAGGGAATGTGGGGTTGTGTAAGGAGAGCTGGGGAAGGGATGCCAGACTCCCAGTGCCTGTGCAGTTCCTGTCTGTACCCTCTAGGAAGTGCTTTGATGTAGGTGACTAACAAATGTTTGGAAGATTTGTTGCTGAATTGTTATTTTTATTTTTTTTTAATATTCCCCTGTTAAAACACTGGCAAAATGGCTAAAACTGAGACTGTGACTCCAAGCCAGCACTAAGAATTCGAGCCCTTTTTTTAATTATCATTTTTCCTTTTTTGTTCTTATTCCTTTTTTTTTTATTATTATTATTTTTTTTTTTATGTTCAAACCTGCCTTAAATCCCTTAAACGGAGTAAATCTCTGGATTTTTTTCTCAGCCAGAGGAGGAGAGAAAACTTTTCGCCAGTCATGTGGCCAGGAGTTGCTGCCTCCTTGTGACCATGATACTAAAGAGCTCTTTGTTTCAGGCTCATGTACAGTCAGGAATGGTTCCTTCTCACCCAACTGCCCATGCTCCAATGATGCTAATGACGACACAGCCTCCCGGTGGTCCCCAAGCCGCCCTCGCTCAAAGTGCACTACAACCCATTCCCGTCTCGACAACAACACATTTCCCCTATATGACGCACCCTTCAGGTGAGGAGTGTGTGCCTGGGACACCTGCACCCTAAACTGAGCCAGGGCGGAGGATCAGGACTGGGACAGACCAGATTTTGGGGGAAAAAAACAACCAAGAAAAAAAAAAAAAAGAAACCAAACGAAAAAAAACCAACCTTAAGATGTCCTTGTAGAGCGGTTCGTAGTTGCCAGCCCCGTTGCCAACCTAGATAGATTTACCTGGTTTAGGGAGTTTTCCTCCAGCTGGAGGGGAGGAATGGGGAGCTGGGAGATGCTGTGGGACTGAGCTGTGCCAGGGTTTGCCGTGGTGGTGCCGTGTGTTTAGAACAAGGAGAGGTTTTAATTACCTTAAAGCGCTCGGTGTCGAGGACGGGAGCGAAAATGGTTTTGGTTTAGGGGTGTTTGCTAAGAAAGTGACTGCTCATTTCAGTGACAGCTGAAAGCTGAACTTGAGTCCAGAGTAACGTTCTGCAGCTTTACTGTCGGGGGGGAAAGTAGGTGCTGTGTGACTTCTTTCCGCTTAAAATTTAACCTTGACTTGGGTTTCTCTGATTATTCGTGTTCAAAAACAGCCTCGAAATTCCTGTAGTGGTGATGTTTCTCGGGGGGAATGTGTGAGCAGAAAAATGCTTTCTGAGGGCTTAGGCGGGGGAAAAATAAAACCATCCAAAGGACATCTTGATGTGCAGGGTTTTGGTTTGTTCTCTAAAAGAATAAAAGAAAAAAAAAAAAAAGAGAAAACAATAAAAATAAAAAAAAAAAGTTGAGCTCAGTAGTTGTCCTGTGACCACTTTACTAGCAAACTGTTGTGTGGCTTGCCAATTTATTATTTACATTTGAACTTTTTTTTTACAGTACAAGCCCACCACCAACAGCAGTTGTAAGGCTCATCTGGAATAACTGAAAGGCTGGATACCTTTTGTAGGCCAAATACCCTCCTTCTACTGCTTCTGCCAACTGGAAGCACAGAAAACTAGAATTTCATTTTATTTTGTTTAAAAAAAAAAAAAAATTTTTTTTTGATTTCTTGTAACATCCACTAGGAATGCTAACAGTTCATCTTGCAGTGGGAGAGATTCGGACTGAGTAGAGGCATTTAGGAACTTGTGGGCTATTCCATAATTCCATGCACTGTATCTGAGTCCTGCAAGTGCCCCAACTCTGCTTGCTGAAAACTGGAAGTTATTTATTTTTTAATGACCCTTCAAAGTTATGAACTCGTCAGCTAGCAAAAGAAGTAACAAGAGTGATTCTTGCTGCTATTATCACTAAAAATCAAGACTTGGAGATCCCTTTTACTTCTAACTAAACTTGAAACAGGTTCAGTAAAAGAAAAAAAAAAATTCTAATCGTCAAACGGATGAGTTATTATTTATAAATCACGTTTGATGAGAGAATCACTATCGTGAGACAGTGATGTAACTTTTAAGTTAAGAAAACTTTTACTTTGTAGATAATATAAAATAAAAACTTAAAAAAAAAATTAAAAAATAAAAAAAGTTTTAAAAACTGACCCTCCTCGGTGTTCGTGTCTTGATTTACCAGTCTCTGGCTGAGCTTTGCCCCCCCGGGGTCTGTCGTGTTCTGCAGCCAGATCCACTCGTGGGGCATTGCAAGGACAAGGGAAAGGATGGAAAATCCCAAGTTTTGCAGAGTTTTCTAACGAGGGTTTGTGTTCCAGTGGATTCCCTGGTGCCTCAGCTCCGGGTGGGGCCACCAAAGATGGCCCAGCTGGGCCCTGAGGTGAAAGAAACTGCACAACTTAAGGTGATCAAATTACAGTCAACGGTGCTGCTGGAGAAGAAAGGGAGGAATCGGGGTGAGAATTCCTTAGGAAAATGCCTGGTAAAAAGATGGGAGACAGGCTGATCCCTGCTCAGAGTGCTGTGCCTTCCTGATCCCTCTGTGGTGTCCCGTGGGGACAGAACAAGGTGGTGCTGGTTACACTGGGTTGTAGAACAGCTGCACTTCCTGGCAGGACAAATCAACTGTCCAAGCTCGTCTCTGAATCCTTCCAGGTCAGCAGAGCTGGAAAATGTACCAAATTCCTGTTCAGGTGGGGATCAGAGCCACGGAGCATCACCATCACAGGCTCTTGGCTTCTTTTTCATGTCTAAGGGAGCATTTCTGCCTTTTAGCACCCAGTACCTACTCAAACACCGTCTGGGCACCTGCAGAGAATCAGACTAAAGACTAAAAGTGAGAAACGAGTTCTAAAAACAGTTTATTAAGAGCAGATTTTTTTTTTTTTTTAATATTACGGTAAAATCGCATTATTCAAGAATAAGTTACTTGTACAGTACATACAGAAACAATATATAGAAAAAAATTACAAGAAGGACTTTTCTGTGCAGGTGAAAAGTAGAACTTTCATATTAATTAAGTCCCAACAGAATGTTGGTTTTAATCGTCCTGCTGAAGGCTGAGTTTGGGAACACACAGTCGCCTCCCCGGGAGTTGCTGGTGAAGGTTGGGGCTGTTTGGATCAAACAAGCTGAAATTAAAATTTGGAATACTGGTAAGGCCAGTGTTTGGTGGTCCAGGTTGGAAAAGAGAAGCTTTGTCTTATCCCTGGATCTCTCCCCATAACCTTTGCCCCAAAATAGCGTCAGTGAGGTGAGGGGTGGAGGTGTCAGTGTTTGGTACCTGCTGGTGCTGTTCCACAGGGCTGGGATGTGGGAGGTGGGAGGGAGACATCAAATAATGCTTCATGTCATGGACTTCTGCAGAGCCTGACACCCAAAGGGACATGAAAAAGCCACAGAGCAGGGGGGTCTGTCAGCAAACAAGTGATTTATGAAGATGATAATGGGGAGGAGTTGTGGCTGGACCCAACTCTTGGGTTATGCCCTAAGCCAGGTCCCTGCTGTCCCACAGAGAGAAGGCACTGCCTGGTTTGCATCCTTATTGCCAAAACCTGCCCTGAGTACCTGCATGAAATGGGGCTCCCCCCGAAAACAGCCTCTCCTGGGAGAGGCCACCAGGAAAGGCCTCCGGAGCCCCTGCTGTGGGTCATGGCTTTGTTAGGTTGGATCCAAACTCACATTCCATCTCCAGGGCCAAGGCACAAGTGGGGTCACACCTGGGAGGTGGCTGTACCTGCTAAGAGCCACCCAGAGACTCTTCCCTTGGCTTCCCCTCCCCTAAAAACTCAACACTGAGACTTCATAAACACCAATAAAAACCCACATGGGCTGAGGAACTAAACCTGCTCAGCCCTATCTTCCCCCAGGTCACAAGAATATAAAGATCCCTGCAAGTTGCTTACATTCCATAGGATGGAATGGTTAATGCTCTCTGCCCGCTGCTCTAATCAAGGATTGGGTGCCCTGTGGAATGGAGGAGCAGGGTGCTGGCAGGAGCAGAGGTGGGACTGTGTGTCGGGCTCTGACCTGTGTCACAAACCAGATGCTTTCTAGGAGAAATGGGAGTTCAAACTCAGTCCCCAGGAGCTTGGGAAATGACCCAAAAATCACCTCAGGTGCTGGCTCAGGAGCACAGTGGGTCTGAGACGGGGATATGATGGAGCTGGGAGGGCTGGAAAACCCTTGGCCCCCTCGTTGGTGAGTTTTGGGATGGAAATTATTAAATAGAGTACTTCCCCACTGCTCTGGGTGAGAAGAACAGGAGTTTGTTTGCACAGGGGAAGCAGCTGCTGGGGTGACAATGAACCCAACATATATTTTGGTGATCAAGCACAGCAATTTCCATTTCAGCTGCGGAGAAACCCCTTGCAATTAAACTGCAGGTTAAAAATACCACATGCACATGCATGTTACGGTTCTGGCACTGGAACAATAAACCCTGGAATGCCAAAACAACCCACCCCAGCAGCATCTGATTGATCTGGCAGGGATTTATGTGGATTCATCTGGCAAGGGCTGCACTGGCTGTGAACAGTGATCCCTTTTCCCAGCCCATCCTTTCTTTGCAGATGTGGGGAGATTCAGGAGAGACCACCTCATTTTTTAGGGGGGAAAAACCCCTTTGAAAGCAGCTCCCTGGTTCTCAGTGGGACTAAAATCAGGAATCTCAGCAAGGTTTAGCACGTGTACGTGTTTTCCAAGGCTTTAGGAACCAGGCACTAAGCAAGGAAAGGAAAACAATTTGCGTGTGCTTCCTCCCCCTTCCCTTCCCCATCCCTGCAAATGCAGACCACGGGGAGTTATTTATTAGGGAGGGAGGGAGCTGACTTGCCTGGCACAGACCAGCCCAGAGATGTGCTCCTGCCACTGGATGCAGCCTTTGTGCTGCTCCGGGCAGGGAAATGGGATGCGGATACAGCTGAGGAGCTCCAGGAGGACAGGGCTGCCTTTGTTTCCCCCTCAGCCTCTGGCAGTGCTGGAGGAGCTGGACCAGTGCAATTCGCTCTTAGTGCTCCAGTTTCAGCAGTGAGTGTGTGACAGCATGTGCTGAGTGCTGGGAATGCTGATCCCCACAGAAAAGTAGGATTGATTCCTCCCCATGCACCCATTTTCAAGAGAAAGGAGGGGAAAAAAGCCTCTGCCTGCTCTAAATGCACAAAACCCAGGGGAGAGCTGGAGCAAGTGATGGGGAGGCATAAAATGCAAATCCTAAATGGTTTCTCGAGTTGATGGTTCCTGTTTCTCCCAGTCACATCCTTCGACTGTGACTTGTAAACCCAGATTTGCTCTCATTGCCACTCCCTGAGCTGTTTTAGGCCCTGGATATTCTGGCCTTGCCCCACAGCACCGGGATTTACCCTTCAGCTCCTGACCTTGGCTACCAACTGGGCTCACCAAGCCCATCTTAGAGGCTGGATTTTTGTGAAATACCCTAACTCAGCCCAACAAGGCTTTGTGTTCGCTTGTTTTCAAATTAATTCCTAAATGTTAATGCTCCTGAGGGCTCCCACCTGTACTGCAACTTCAAGGAAAACAGAAACCAAAAGCTTTCTGGAAGGCAGTTCTCAAGACAAGTCCTGCAGCCGAAATCCCGGGGGCTCCGCTGGGAAATCTGGAAGTTGAATGCTGTGAACATCCCCCCACCCGGCTGTCGCAACAGCTCCAGCCCTTCCTCATTCTTAAAATAACGGTAGCTTCGAAGAAGTGGTTCCTCTCCCACGGCTGCCCCAGCCCCTGGCAGGTGAAGCAGCACCAGGGCTTGGAACCAGCAGTGGAGATTTGGGATCAGGGGACCTTGAGACCCAGAGATTTGCTGGGACAGGTTTTTCCTCCAGGTGAGGAGGTGTCCAAGCAACCCCCCCTTGCCTGTGTAGCTTTAAATACCACCAAATTCTTGGTGACACGGTGGTTGGGGGGAAAAGGCAAGTGACAGAAGGTGGACTGAGCTGGTGAGGGTGAGAAAATGTTTAGGGGAAAAACTGACTCTAAATTTGTGCCTAAAACGCTTCCAGTCACTGGGATAGAACTGTTCCATCACTGGGGTAGAACAGTAGAACAGTTTCATCACTGGGATAAAACAATTCCATCACCAGGATAAAACAGTTCCAACATCGGGATAAAACGATTCCACCACATGGACTGAATGTGCCCATCACTGGGATAAAACCTCTCAGTGACAGGGATAAAATACCTCCCTCCCCGGGATAAAGCCCTCCATCACCAGCAGGCGTGGTTTGCTGTCAGTCTCTGTGTTAGTTCTCAGCTGGTGACACGATTAAGGATGGAGCAATTAGTGTTCACGTCTCAATTAGCTGGGCAAGCGAGGTGAGCGTTCCCCTGGCTGGTGCAGGGAGCGACTGTGGCTGTGCTGGGTTAAAAAAGAAGTGCAAGAAAAGCCAGTTTTTGCCTTATCTAAAAACAAAGCCCAAACTCTGCTGGCACCCGAGGCGGGAGCTCCGCTCAGGCTGGGCTTTGCTGGAGGGTTTGGCAGTGGCAGCAGGTGCTGAGGCGGGAGGACAGGGCCTAGAGCAGCAACTTGTCAATGAATTTATGATCCTTTTTCTCTTAGTTTTCTGTTTGTTTTTTTGTTTTTTTTTTTTTATCTTTCTCCAGTTCTGTGGGTGTAGCACAGACTCTGGTTCCTTTGCTGGGACAGGCGGGAGGCCGAGCCCGGCGTCGCGGTGCTCGGCACACGGGGGCACAGGCACGAGCGGTGTGTAAACAGTAATGAGAAAGCTTTGAGAATAACAACAAAAATAACAATAAGAGGCCCTTCAACAGGCCAACGAGAGGGAGCACACCCATACAGGAGTGAAAAATTACCCCCTTCCTTGCGAAAATACAATAATCATCCCTAACCAGAAGGAAGAAACAGGTACATTCTTTCTCTCGATGGATCCCCAGAAGGTCTCTAGGATTTCTCCACCCAAAAGTGCATCCCAGTGCCAGTCAGAGTGGTGTGTACTGGTTGTCGATGGCACGGACGTGGCCCCGGCCTGGCGCCTCCACCTCGTAGTCCGACTCGCGGTGCCGGGGCCCGGGGGCCGGGGGGGTCCTGCTGGGGCGCAGGCTCTGCGCCAGCTCGGCCGGCGGAGGCACCAGGTGGAAGATCTGCTCCGAGGGGGGGCCGGGGGGAGCCTCGTCGGCACTGTGGGGGCAGGAGGAGCTGGCGGGGGCGAGGCTGAACTCGGGGCTCCAGCCAGGGACAGGCAGCGGGAGAGGGACCGTGGTGCTGGAGCCGGGAGCTGCAGGTAGAGGCACGAGATGGGCGGTCAGGGTGCTGTTGGGGGGTGGGGGTGCAGGGTGCATCCCATCACCCCCCCTCCCCCCCCGCTGACGTGGGGAGCAGCTTCTCCTTTCTCAAAAGAGGAAGCTGGGAACTCGGGAGTCACCTTTTGGGCCGCTGCCCGGATGCTCCCACTTCCCCCCTCCGTGTGCAACCAAAGGGCCCTGCTCTGGGCAGCCCACCCACCCTGGGCACCCTCCACCCCTGCACACCTTGGGAGTGGGACAGGACCACGACGTAGCTGGAGAGCCGCACGTCGCAGGCCGTGCCGCACTCCAGCGGGATGGGGTAGCGGTGGAAGTGGTGCAGCATCTCCACGATGGAGGAGAAGCGCAGGTGCTGGACACGGCACTGGCCCCGCTCTGTCAGCGCCAGCCGCAGGTGCTGTGGGGAGGAGACAGGCCTGTTACCCTCCCGCCCGCTCCCTCCTGGAGCAGACAGCGGGGACACGGGGGTATTTGGGATGGAGGGACACAAATGGCTGTAGCACAATATGCTGCATCTCCAGCCTGCAGTTCCCTGGAGATTTTTGCCCCCCAGGAGCAGGGGGCCACCAACCCACTACAAGCATCAAGACAGGGAGCAGGAGAGCACCTCCCTGGGGTGGGATGTGGTGGGACAGGGACTGTGCTTCAGCAGAAGGGGGCTGCCCAAGGGGCTCCTGCGGGACTCCCCTCCCCATCCCAGCCCTCTCCCGCCCGTACCTTGGCTCTGCCCTGGAAGTTGAAGGTGAGCACGTACTCGCCGCGGCGCGTCTCGCTCTGCCGCACCAGGAACACGCCGTGACCCTCCAGCCCCCCCAGCTGCACCAGCTGAGCCGCCTTCACGCGGGAGATGGGCCCGTGGAACCAGGGGCAGGAGGAGAGGAACTGCTCCATCTTCGGCCCCGCCGCCTCCCCTGGGCCCCCTGGCGTTGCCACTGCTGGGGCAGGCACAGGGATGAGTGTCCCTGGGAAGTGGAGACCCCTGCCCACAACCCCCATCGCCCTCCCCTCTGGCTCTGTCACCCCCGTCATGCCAAAGGGGAACCAAATCAGCCCAGCCACGGCTGGACACGGTGACCCCCTGGCAAGGAATGTTCTGTCCCCAGGGTGCCCTGGGTGTCCCCGCTGCTCACCTTGGCCGAGGGGGTCAGTGCTGGTGGTGGGGTTGGCGGATGAGGGGTCAGGGTGCCGGCACACCAGGAGCTCGGGGTCACCCGTGTCAGACCTGCTGGAGACAGGAGAAGCTGAATGCTGGTGGGGGGGGTCAGCCTGTGTTGGGGGACATGGAACCACTGTCCCCAGCCCCGGGCTCAGGGACACCCAGCGGGCGCTTACCCCCTGCACACACACTCCCGAATCTCAGCCGTCCATGAGTTGAGCTGCTGCTCATCCCCGGCCTCGAACAGGATGTCGGTGGCGTTGGTGACCTGGGGGACATCGGAGAGGGACAGGGGGGCTTCAGAGAGACACAGATGTGCATCCCCTCTCCCACCCACCCACCCACCCACACTCATGACCCTGGCAGGGACAGACATCCCCTGCCCTGCACACCACATCCCCCTGTGCATCCCCTCCCGGGATGGGAAGAGGAACTGAAATTTGGCACGGGAGCTTTTGGGAGCCACGTGCGCCCCAGGGGGTGGGAAAGGCCTCGGGGGTGGCTGTGGACCCCTCCAGCAGGACCTACCTTGAGGACGAAGGTGTGGAGGTTATCGGGCATCTCGAGGCGGGTGCACCTCCGCACCTCCTGCACGGTGGAACAGGCGACGTGGAGCTTCGGCTTGGAACTCTGTGGAGGGAACATGGAGACTGAGCTGAGCCCCAACACCCCCTGCATCCCAAAACACTGCCCCACACCCCACTGCTCTGCCAGGACTGGGAGCCACCCGAGGCACAGCAGCCAGCAAGGAAATACCCAGCTCTCTGGGGAAATACCCCACCAGCAAAGAAATACCCTGTGGAGCGAGGAAATACCCTGTGGGACAAGGAAATACCCTGCAGAGCACTGCCCAGCCACTGTCAGGGCACCTCAGGGGGGGCCAAGTGACACCCAGACCCATCTTGGCAGCCCCAAGGGCCCTGCAGTGGAGGGAGGGGTGGAGGAAAGGAGGGAGAAGGGTATTCCCAGCACAGCAGTGAGTTCCAGGGGGGATGGGGAACTCGGGGTGCAGGCAGGGAACACCCCGCTCACGGGCACAAGGGTCAGCGGTGGCGTGCCAAGAGCGCTCCGGCGGGTTTGGCACTGACACAGGCACGTGACAGAATGCTGAGCAAACACTTCCAGAGAGGTTAATTATACCCCTCCGGCAGCTTTCGGTTCCTCTGCCGCCCCATGTGCTGGCGAGCGAGAGGCGCTGACCACTGGCAGGCTGTGGCACGTGGCACCCGGCCCGTCACCAGGACTGGGCTGACCTGGGGTGCCAGGGGGGTGGAAAGCTCCTGGGGGACCCCTGCACTGCTGCTGGGGGGTTGGAGCCATGGTGCTCATCCCTGTGGCCAGAGCCATCCCATGCATCCCAGCAAAGCCCAGGCAGTGCCACCACGTGCCAGGCACGCTCATCCTCCTGTGCCAGGCTTGCCGCAGGACAAAATTTTGGCTGGCTGTGATTCACGCAGTGGCTTTAGCATCCCACGGGATGCTGGCTCCAGTGGTCCTCTCCAATCCACAGCCACTCCCCCTATACAGGTGCCAGGCTGTGGTGCTTCACCCCACCACAGCATTTGCCAGCCAAACTGCCCAAATTCTGCCCCAAACTTGTGATGCTCAGGGTAAACCCACACCCACCATGACCCCAAACCACCTGTACGACCCCAAGAACGTCCCCACTGGACACTCTCCACGGTCACCCAACCAAACCGTGTCTAGCTGTGCTTTTTTTCCTTCCATCTCCCCTCCTCCCTCCCTCTCTGCCCTGAGGACTGGGTGTACTTTGGGGCCGGAAATGCAGCGCGAGAGGGATCAGCCCTTATCAGCACCGAGCTGCGCCGAAAAGAAAGTTCTTAGAAGTCGCCCGTGTACGGCGTCACTGCAACTGGGTTGGTGACACCGCGGTGGCTCTGGCACCCCCAGGCCCGCTGGTGACAGTGATTGCAGCTGTGCTGTGCTGTGCTGCGCTGCAATCACTGTCACCAGCGGGGCAGGGGGTGCCGTGAGCCGCCGCGCTGGCGCCGGTGCTTTATCCCCAAGGAATTTGATTTCTCTGCTGTCCTTGGAACATGACCGTGCCCCGTGCAAAGTCCTGCACGGAGGAAAGCGAAAGGATCACCCATCCTGGCCGCCTTCCCGCACACGGGTTGTGACGTCCAGCGTGTCCCTGAGCGGGTTTTATCGCCATCCCAACCGCGGTGTTGGGGTCGGCTTCTTAGGAAAGCGGGAAATTCCAGGAAAAGGGAGTTCGGCGAAGCCCCCCGCGTCTCTCGGCATGGGGAGCGCAGACAGGGAGCGTGAGGGGAGAAGGAAATGATGCAGCAGAGAGATACGGTGCCCGAAAAGCCAGCCTGGCTTCGGAGAAGTGCCAACCACAGGCACGGTACCCCCGCTCCCCGAACCACCGCGCTCGCCACAAGATGCCCCGTTCGATGGGGCCGGTACCAGGAAAGGGATTTCTCAGTAACCAAAACTGCACACTCAACACACCATGTGTTCACCCAGCACCCACGGGCTCCTTCTCGGCGGGAGAGGTGCCCCAGCAGCGCTGTGGGGCTGGGGAACCCCCCATGCTGCCTGGCTTGGGGCGCTCAGGATGCTCAAGATGTTGCCCCAGCTCAGCCTCCAACCGCACCAGCATCAGCTCCCACGTGGAGACTTCACCCCACTGCTCCCTAAAGGATCCTGTGCACATGGGGGAAAGCCCAGCACCAGGTTCAGAACTCCCAGAATCACCTGGGGACATGACACCCCTTGAAGGGTGCACTCCCAAAGGCACCAGAACTGAGCTGCCACTGTGCCATCTCTGTGGCATTCCCAGTCCTGACACCTGGCACGCAAACTGGGCACCCTGGGGTGTGTCACAGGTCATCTCCAGCTCACAGAGCTGAAGGCAACAGGATCCAGCCTGAACTCCCCAAATTCCCTCTCCCTGTGGGACTTGACAGTGGCTGAGCACTGATGGGGACATCTGGTCACTGATGCATGTGACAGTTCCATAGGATGGGGACAGAGGAGCCACAGCAGCTCTCAGCACCTACTGAAATACACCAGAATTTGCATTTTTGTTCTTTGCAGGGAATTTTTCTACAGATCAAAAATACAAAGCTTCAGCCAGGCCAGAGCTGTTCCCAGCACCAGGTGACATGGGGCAGACTGGAAGGTGGAGGAAAACGTCCCTGAGACAGAATTCCCTCCTGAGCATCCCATTGGAGCCAAACCCACCCCCACTCCATCTCCCAACATCTCTGCCCCCAGCCATCCCCATGTGGTGCCACGGGGAGCACGAGCACAGCAGGGGAATAACCACAGCACAGGCAGTGCCACCACAGCACCCACGGCCACCACACACCTGGGGAGGGCAGGACAGTCAGGAGAAAGTGGGGATTTCCAGCTCCTGCCAAAGCTAGGAAGGAGTCCGACGCCAGCCTGGCTCTGAGGCCGTGCCAGGAGCGCGGATGGAGGTCAGGCCAAGGTCAGAGCCGCGCGCGGGCGGTGCCGGCGCGGAGCTGCTGCGTTTCCTCCTGGCAAACCCCAGTCCCAGCCCTCACCACAGCACCGGCACCAGCAGCTTTCTGCACTCCCTGTGTCTCTGTGGTGCCAGAGGCCACGGTACCAGCAAGCTGCCTGTGCCACCAGCTCCTTTCCTGGTGATGTCCCCCCAGCAGCCCCCACAGCACCTTCTGCTTGCCTCTGGTGGGGAACCACTGCCTGGAGGGTGGGCTGGCACGGTGGGTCACTCCACACCTCACCAGCAAGGGTTTTTGGATTTATGGGGCTTTTTGGCAGCAAAGCTCCTCCCACCTCGTCCACACGTGCCAGGAAAAAATCTCATCACGACACTGTGAGGAGCACAACCTGTCTGGATGCCCAGGGGACACTGTGGTTGCTGGGGGGGCTTTCTTTGCTCAGGTGAGGAGGGAGGCAGCCTGTTTTCCAAGAATGAGACCAAAATCCCACTGCCAAGCTGCCCACACCCAGAGAGCCACCGGTACCTCTGTGTTTGACCAGCCGGTGGCATGATGGTGATGGCAGTGACACCACAATGATGGCAGTGGTGTGGTGACAATGGCAGTGGCACAGTGACCGTGGCAGTGGAACGGTGATGCTGGTAGTGCCACAGTGAAGGCAGTAGTGTCACGGTGATGATGACAGCAGCACAGTGACGATGGCAGTCTCACAGTGATGATGACAGTGGCATGGTGATGATGACGGTGGCTGGTTTGTACAGAGCAAATCCTTGGAATGCAGCAGGCGCTGCCGAGGGCCCTCCACGCTCCGGGATTTCCCCAGGCTGGCTTCCCCACTCACTTCCACTCTGAGTCACGCTCGGGAGGTGGGGAAGTGCCCGAGCCCTTGTGCAAGGTCCTTGACGGATACAGGCGAGATTTGTCACTTCTTGTAAACCTCAGAGCCCACCAGGGCCCCCTCACGCAAGGGACAAACCTCAGCTGGAGCTGCAGCACCCAGGTCCCTCAGTCTGGCTGTGGGGGACAGACAGACGGACAGACACCAAGATCCACAGCAACCAGGTTGTGATGGCACAAAACCACATCCTGTGCCTACAGCCCTGGGGAGTTTTGTGAAGTTTCCCAGGAGCTCAGAGGGACACAGCCCTGTTCCAGGGAATGCCAGGTGAGCAGGAAGGGAAACAAATCCCGTTGTGCCAGCAGGGAGAGCCAGGTGGGTCTAGTGGGGCTGTGAGGGCTCCAAGGGTCATGCTGGAGGGTGCAGGGTGACTGCTGCAGCAGCCATTGTCCTCAGGGGTTTGCACCACACACAATCTCAGAATTCATCCTTGGGGATTTTGCGTGGCAGATAATCCCAGTGTTTGCTCTTGGGAGTTTCACCATAGTTAAACCCAACACATCCTTGAGGACTTTGCACCATAGATAACCCCAGCACGTGTCCTTGGGTGTTTGCACCACAGTTAATCCCGGTGTGCATCCTCAGGGATCTGTACCATGGCTAATCCTGGTGTTCCTCCTCAGGGATCTGCACCACAACTAATCCTGTTATTCATCCTCAGGAATTTGCACCACAGCTTATCCCAGTGTTTATCCTCAGGGATCTGCACCAAAGCTAATCCCAGCGGTCCATCCTCAGGGATCTGCGGCATGGCTAATCCCTCTGTCCTCCAGAGGGTAATCCCAGTGCTCCAGGGGGTTGATAGCACTGTTAATCCCAATGCTCCTCATCAGACATTTGCACACCATGGGAGATCCCAAGAGGACTGGTCCTGTACCAATGCAGGGATCCCACTGATTCAGGCCTCCAGCACCCACTGCAGGGACCCCCAGCTCAGCTCCCCACGATCCCAGGATGACACTCTCCTGCCCCTGCAGGCAGAGGCTGTTCACTCTGAAACCTACTGCCAGCAGTGGCACCATCATGGGCTCTCTGTTCTGGGTTTGGGGAGCTGGAGGTAGGAATTTTCCCACCTCTGTTAAACAGGAACAAAAGAGGTGTTCCCTGCTGATCAGGTGATCCTGCTCTGCGAGCCCAAGTCCCCCAGGCCCTGACCATTATCACCCCAAAACCCCTCTCTGCCCACCCCAAGCCCCCATCGGCATCCTCAACGCAACAGCAGAGGCACAAAGGAGTTGCCAAGACACCCCGTCTCCGAGCATCCCTGCAAGGCT